ATACTCACCGCCGCGGCGCGTGTGTGTGGCGTCGTAGGTGCTCGCGCACGTGTGTGGTGCGTAGGTGCTGCGCGCGCGTGTGTTGTGTCGTAGAATCGTGCCGGCGTGGTGTATCCCCCTCTCGGCCCAGCCGCTCGGACAGGTGTTAGCGTGTGTAGGTCGGCGCGCGCGTGTGGTGTGTGCGTGGGTGCGCGCCTGCGCATGTGTGGTTCGTGCGGTAGGCTGCTTGCGCGCTGTGCGAGCTCCTGTGGTCTGGCTAGGTGCTCACGGCCGCGCCGTCAGTAACGGCCTGTTTGTGCGTGCGTAGGTGCTCGCGCGTGTCGTGCGGTCCGCGCGGTTGTGCGTTTAGTGCCGCGCCGTGTGTTGCGTGTGTAGCCGTGGCAGGCGCGGCGTGTGTGTGCGTGGGTGCTCGCGTGCGCGTGTGCTGTGTGCGTAGGTGCTCACGCGCCGCGTGTGTGTGCGTAGAGTATGCTCACGCGCGCGGGTGTCTTGTGCGTAGGTCTCGCGCGCGTTGTATTGTGCGTAGATGCTCACGGCGCGGCGTGTGTGTGTGTGCTAGTGCTCACGCTCTGCGCGTGTGTCGTGCGTAGATGCTCACGCGCGCGTGTCTGCCGTAGGTGTCGCGGCGCGGTAGTGTTGTGTGGGCGTAGGTTTGCTCACGCGTGTGTGTGTGCTGCGGCAGGTACTACACGCGTGGTGTGCTGTCGTGGTGCTGTAGGTGCCTCGCCGAAAGCGCGGCGTGTGTGTAGGTGCTCGCGTCCGGTGTGTGTGTTGTGCGTAGGTGCTCCACGCCGCGCCGGTGTGATGTGCAGTAGCGTGCTCGACGCGTCGTGTGTGTTGTGCGTGCAGCGTACTCACGCGTGCTGGTGTGTTGTGCGTAGGTCGCTCCGCGCGCGGCTGTGTGTGGTGTAGGTGCTCGCGCGGTGGTGGTGTGATCGCGTAACGGTGCTCACGCGGCGTGGGTGGCGGGGGGTAGCTGGGTAAGTCAACACCATACAGGTCGAGTAGCGGCAGCCGACGTGAGTTCGATAATGCGCCTGTATCCGTCGCTGTTTCACGACCCGCACCGCGACAAGGAACAGCAACGACGAGGGGCAGTGACGTACGCACTGCGTAAGTTTCCCCGCACACAACATCTAATAGGAGAAACAGTGATGGGCCGCGACTGTGACGATGTCGGATATGTGACGTCACGCGCCGACGTGACGTCAGCGGTTCACTTCGACACTCTGTCCGGAAGCTAGAGGAAAAAGCTAGGCGAGGATGGCTGAGGGCAGATGCTGGGGGGAGGATGCTGGGGAGGATGCTTTAGGCGAGATGCTGTGGGGAGCGACGCTAGGTAAGCGTGCGGGGGCAGAATGCATGGCTTGATCGTAACCACTATTATACCCTAAGCTGACTGAACATCCAACTGATCAATCTATTCCAATCAACGGAACCTGTCACGTTTGGGCGACGCACAGTCCGGTGCTCATAATTATGATATCGCGTCGAAGGCAGGCCGAGACAAAGTAGAGAAAGCAGAGAAAGTAAGTAAAGAAAGAAAGAAAGAGAGAGAAAGAGTAACTGAGAGGAGAGAGAGAGAGAAGAAATGAGGAACGAAAGGAAAGAGAGTAAGCAACAGCAGAGAAAGAGAGATGAGAGGGCGAGAAAGAAGAGAGAGCAGCGTGAAAGAGAGAGAGAGAGACCGAAATGAGCACTGGGAGATGAGAGAGAGAGAGAGAGGGAGAGAGAGAGAGATGAGAGAGCCGATGGTACTGTATAGACGGTATAATGAGAGTAGAGAGGAGAGCTAGGGCGAGAGAAGTTGGTTTAAGGTGTGAGTGAGCACGACAGCATCACACACACCACACACACAGCACACACACAAGCAGTCACACACTCACACCACCACACACACACACACACACACACAACGCACAGCCACAACACAGCATTACGCACGCGTTCCGCGCCGCCATACACCACACACACACATCACACACACACCACACACACACATACTACTACAGACACACCAACACGCACACGCACACACATACGAGACACAGATCACACTACACGCGCGCGCTCAGCACAACACACCACACACCACACACACACAGCACACACACTTCACGCACTCACAGCACACAGATGGAGAGAGAGAGAGAGAGGAGAGCAGAAAAAAAGAAAAGCGGGAGCGGAGAGAAAGCGAGAGAAAGCAGGGAGTGGGGTGGAGAGTAGGCAGTGAGAAAGATAACTGAAGGAGGAAGAGTGAATGAATCTATCCATCTGTCTACTCAATCTATCTATTCATCTTATCTATCTATCTATCTATCATAGTCTATCTATCTTATCTAGTCTATCTATCTATCTATCGCTATTATCTTATCTATCTATCATCTATCGTATCTATCTATCTATCTAATTTATCTTATATCTATCTATCTAATCTCATTCTATTCTTCATCTATTTAATCTTAATCTATCTATTATCTATCTAATCTATCTATCTATCTTATCTATCTATCCTATTTATCTATTTCCTATCTATTAAATCTTCTATCTATCTATCTATATCTATCTATCTATCTATCTATCCTATCTTCTTCTATCTTATCTATCCATATCTATCTATCTATTAATATATATATCTATCTATCTATCTATTTATTATATCATATCTACTCTGATCTATCATCTAATTTATCTATCTTACTATCTATCTATCTATCTATCTATTCTATCATATCTATCCTATCTATCTATCTTATCTATCTATCTATTCTATCTTATCTATCTTGTCCGAGGTCGTATCTGTGATCTCGTCGGCATTAGGTTCGTGAGGGGGTTGTGGGGTGGGGGGGGGCGGCGGGGTGTTTGTCTATCCTTGTATTGACAGCATGAGTATGTTCGGGGGGGGGGGGGGGGTGGGGGTGGGGGGGGGGGTGTGGGGTGGGCGGGGTGGGTGGTGGGGGGTGCTGGGCGTGGTGCGGGCCCGTCTGGCCGTGGGGGGGGGGGGGGGGGGCGCGGGGGGTGGTCGGGGGGGGCATATCTGATTGCTAGTGTTAGTCTATCTTGTATCGTATCGTATCTGAATCTTATCTAGTCTGAATGCGTATCTAGGTGCTATGGCGTATCTATCTATCTACTGATCTATCTACTCTTCTATCGTATCTATTCTATCTATTATCTAGCTCTACTATCCTAGTTTATTTATCAGATCTATCTATCTATCTTATCTATCTACTTATCTATCTCATCTATGCTATCTAATCTCATCTATCTATCTATCTATCTAATCTATCTATCTATGCTATCTATCTATGCTATCTATCTATCTATCTATCTAGTCTAGTCTATCTATCTACTATGCTATCTATCTATCTATCTATCTATCTATCTATCTATATATATATCTATCTATCTATTATCTATCAATCATCTACTCAATCTATCTATCTACCTACCTAATCTATCTATCTATCTAATCTATCTATCTATCTTTCATCTATCTAATCTATCTCATCTATCTGTCTATCTGGCTATCTATCTATCTATCTATCTTTATCCTATTCTATTTAGTCTACTTCCTATCTATCTGTGTATATGTGTGTATATGTGTGTATATATATGTGTGTGCACATTCACAGTATAAATCTATTATAGTTGCGCGTGATCTTTTTTCCTCTGCTTCATCTTCTCTCTCTCTCTTTTCTCTCTCAGTATCTCTCTCTCTCTCTCTCCTCGTTCGCACTCTGTAAACGCACGGCTATTGAAGTGGGGTGGCTCTGGGAGTGAACGGTCATATAATACTGCATTATATCATACCCATTATAGATAGTGTGCACTCTATCCATATTAATGGCATCGGGTTTTTCATGTCAAACAACCATGATGCACCATAATTTTAAAACTAGGATTTTAACAAAATAGTATTTCATTCGGCAGATACTGTTCGTGAGCGAACACTGATCTTCCACTAAGCTAACGAAAATATGGTACAACCAGGCAACTATTGATTATTAATGTGACTGTTAAGAATTAATTTGCTCTAGGAATTAAAAGGAATTTCATTACATGAAAATACTGAGGTATCAGAATGCCGATGTATAGAAACCAGACAATATTTTGCTGGCTGATTGAAATGTTAATAGCGACATTTCAGCTGTGAAAACATTCACCTTATAATGATTAAAGTTGGACATTGATTCTAACAAATTTTTCACGTCAATTGCCTCTGCATGCGGCGAATAATGTTATTACAGGCTGAATGCAATCGATTTTCGACAAATTATTACATTTGGAAGATACCTGGCATTCGCAAACACAGCGTACAATCGCTGTGCTACAGAAATTTAGTACTTGATAACTCGTTCTGTATAAAACAATTGTTTCAAGGTACCAACCGAGAGATGGGAGCTACACGACATAACTTGATAACTCTGATCAAACAATTGTTTCGCGTAAATGTCGTCTATTTGCGGACACGTTCATTGTCGAAGCTGTGGAGAGGACTCGTGCATACAACTTGTGATCGCGCGAATGCTTCAACATAAAGAGAATCAAACAGTATGAAAGAAAAAGTGTACGAAGACTAAAGAATTTGATCAAAAGATGATCTATGAACTTTATATCGATAGCTATTTGTACTATATTTATTATTCTGTGTAATGCCCGTTTCGGGCCATAGCCGTTTAGCTGCGCGCACCCACTCAAGCGTAGCGCTTCCCCTGAAATAATCAGCTAGGTCAACACGGGGAGGGGGGGCTAATCTTCCCGAGGCGCAGTCAGCTTGCGTGGATGCTGCGATCGCATTCAGCTGTCAGGACCGCGCGCAGCACGAACACACTGATCGCTCTCCGCTCCTAGGTTCGTCCGACTCTGTTTCTTGTTGATACTGTTACCCGTGCGTATATATATACTATACTATATATTATACTATATATTACTATATATTGCGTATATATTATACCACAGCAGCGTCTCTACGTGGCGGTGGTGTAGCATCTTGGCGGTGGTGTAGACAGTTGTACCTGAACTGTACATGGATACGTGAGCGAGCGAGTGAGCGAGAATATTTGGGGAACTACGATCAGTGTGTGCGCCGAACCGTCCCAGAGCGAGGTTGATACTTCCGTGCTCCCGTACTCGCTTGCGTTCGTGCGTGCGTGCGTGCGTGCTAGCTGCAGGAATGGCAGCTTCCGCTAACTCCGAAAGCAAAACATCGTCAACGACTAGTCTGCCGGCAACGAGCGCTCACATCAAGTAAGTATATACTGCATACACAGCACCGCCTGTCTCTCGATCTCTACTCCGTCTCTCTCTTCCTACTCCGTCTCTGTCCCTCTCTCTCCTCTCTACTCCGTCTCTGTCCCTCTCTCTCCTCTCTACTCCGTCTCTGTCCCTCTCTCTCCTCTCTACTCCGTCTCTGTCCCTCTCTCTCCT